TCCACCATACTGCCTGCACCATGGCCACCATTTTTTACGTTGCACTGCTTGCCTCCTTATCCTCCCCATCAGCTATAATTCCTTTTTCCTTTGAGAGTTAGCATTGCCACCACGGTTTGTACCATGTATCTATATGGAGGCACTGTCCGTGGTCTACTTCATATTCTAACTGTGGCATAAGGAAAGAGCACAGCTTTGACTGCAATCCGCCCATCTTATTATCTGTGTGTATCTTGGGCATGTTACTTAGCCTCTCTGAGCCTCAGTCTTGCCCTTTTAAAATGGGGATGACAATAACCCACCTCAAAGGTTTACTATGAGGATTATTCAGAGAATGGCACATAGTAAGTGTTCAGTATATGGTAACTAATATTACTGCTACTAATGCCACTGCTATTATTTTTATCCCATTAGAGTATGAACTCTCTTAACAGGGAGGATCAAAAGCCGTTGGATGTGGGCAGGATGAGCAGGCCCTCTGTCACACCTGGGGAGGTCAGCTCTACACGAATTTGCAAGTCAACCTGGAGGGGCAGGCCCCAGTGACCAGACTCCTCAGACAACCTCCCTTCTCTGAGTGCAGTGGACCACTTCTAGGTTGACTGACCTCTGACTCCTTGCACTGGCCTTTGTGTGTGAGCCATGGATGATTCCAGGCTAATCCAAGTATCCTTTTTTTTTTTTTTTTTTTTTTTTTAGGCCTCTCACTGTTGTGGCCTCTCCCATTGAGGAGCACAGGCTCCGGACGCACAGGCTCAGCGGCCATGGCTCACGGGCCCAGCTCCTCCGTGGCATGTGGGAGCCTCCCAGACCGGGGCACGAACCCGTGTCCCCTGCATCGGCAGGCGGACTCTCAACCACTGCGCCACCAGGGAAGCCCCCAAGTATCCTTTTAAAAAAGAAGAAACCTTGAGGAATTATTCAATGACTGACATAACTGGGCATTTTAAAGTGGAACAGCTGAGGGGCTTCCCTGGTAGTACAATGGTTAAGAATCCGCCTACCAATGCAGGGGACACGGGTTCGAGCCCTGGCCCGGGAATATCCCACATGCCGCGGAGCAACTAAGCCCGTGCGCCACAACTACTGAGCCTGAGCTCTACAGCCTGCGAGCCACAACTACTGAGCCCACATCCCACAACTACTGAAGCCTGCACGCCTAGAGCCCGTGCTCCGCAACAAGAGAAGCCGCGACAATGAGAAGCCTGCGCACCACAATGAAGAGTAGCCCCCGCTCACTGCAGCTAGAGAAAGCCCGCGCACAGCAACAAAGACCCAACACAGCCAAAAATAAATAAATAAATAAATAAATAAAAAAGTGGAACAGCTGAGAGATGATTTTGCTTTTTCCAAAATCCAGTGTGCAGAACTCATGAGATGGCTGACATTCTGTTCAGAGATGGCATGCAAAGATCAAAAGGCCAGAGAGAATGAAACCCACATAAGATGCAGAGTAACCAGAAATGCTGGGTTTATTGTTTCTTTACTGTAGATTAATCAATAATGAAAGAATACATTCACTGTGGGAAACTGAAAAACCACACAAAAAAAATATCAACCTTTAGTTTCACAAAGCAAACACAATCACTATTAAAATATTGGTATATTTCCTTTTATTTTTTTTTCCTCTACATACTTCTACATAGTTACATAGTATGTACAATTTTGTGTCCTGCTTTTCAATATAACTAGGTGCTTTTTGTTTTCTAATGGCACAAGTAACATGGTCATTATAGAAAAAAATTTAGACGTGAATAAAACAAAAGAAAGGCTAAAAATTAAGTAACCTTAATTAAATTCTTTCAAACAAATAAAGTGCACAATATTTTGAAAATGCCTAATAATCCTATCTCCCAGCTATCTTTTGCTTTTTAAACATCTTTATTGGAGTATAATTGCTTTACAATGGTGTGTTAGTTTCTGCTTTATAACAAAGTGAATCAGCTCTACATACACATATATCCCCATATCTCCTCCCTCTTGCGTCTCCCTCCCACCCTCCCTCTCCCACCCCACTAGGTGATCACAAAGCACTGAGCTGATCTCCCGGTGCTATGCGGCTGCTTCCCACTAGCAATCTATTTAACATTTGGTAGTATATATAAGTCTGTGCCACTCTCTCACTTCGTCCCAGCTTACCCTTCCCCCTCCCCGTGTCCTCAAGTCCACTCTCTACGTCTGCGTCTTTATTCCTGTCCTGCCCCTAGATTCTTCAGAACCATTTTTTTTTTGTTAGATTCCATATATATGTATATATGTGTTAGCATAAGGTATTTGTTTTTCTCTTTCTGACTTACTTCACTCTGTATGACGGACTCTAGGTCCATCCACCTCACTACAAATAACTCAATTTTGTTTCTTTTTATGGCTAATATTCCATTGTATATATGTGTCACATCTTCTTTATCCATTCATCTGTTGATGGACACTAAGGTGGCTTCCATGTCCTGGCTATTGTAAATAGAGCTGTAGTGAACATTGTGGTACATGACTCTTTGAATTGTGGTGTTCTCAGGGTATATGCCCAGTAGTGGGATTGCTGGGTGGTATGATAGTTCTATTTTTAGTGTTTTAAGGAACCTCCATACTGTTCTCCATAGTGGGTGTATCAATTTACATTCCCACCAACAGTGCAAGAGGGTTCCCTTTTCTCCACACCCTCTCCAGCATTTATTGTTTGTAGATTTTTTGATGATGGCCATTCTGACTGGTGTGAGGTGATACCTCATTGTGTTTTTCTTTCTGTTTTTTTTTTTCAGTACGCGGACTTCTCACTGTTGTGGCCCCTCCCGTTGCGGAGCACAGGCTCCGGATGTGCAGGTTCAGCGGCCATGGTCCACGGGCCCAGCCGCTCCGCAGCATGTGGGATCTTCCCGGACGAGGGCACGAACCCGTGTCCCCTGCATCGGCAGGCGGACTCTCAACCACTGCGCCACCAGCCCCTCATTGTGGTTTTGATTTGCATTTCTCTAATGATTAGTGATGTTAAATATTCCTTCATGTGTTTGTTGGCAATCTGTACATCTTCTTTGGAGAAATGTCTATTTAGGTCTTCTGCCCATTTTTGGATTGGGTTGTTTGGTTTTTTTTGATATTGAGCTGCATGAGCTGCTTGTAAATTTTGGAGATTCATCCTTTGTCCGTTGATTCTTTTGCAAATACTTTCTCCCATTCTGAGGGTTGTCTTTTGGTCTTGTTTATGGTTTCCTTTGCTGTGCAAAAGCTTTGAAGTTTCATTAGGTCCCATTTGTTTATTTTTGTTTTTATTTCCATTTCTCTAGGAGGTGGGTCAAAAAGGATCTTGCAGTGATTTATGTCATAGAGTGTTCTGCCTATGTTTTCCTCTAAGAGTTTTATAGTGTCTGGCCTTACATTTAGGTCTTTAATCCATTTTGAGTTTATTTTTTGTTCTCCTAGCTATCTTATTATCATGGGGAAAAATCCAGGTACAGACATTCTCTGACCATCTCTGACTTGAAAATCACAGTGGTCTTCAGTCTAGTCCTTTACCTTACCATGCATCCTCCCACCACAGGGCCTTTGCATATGCAGTTCCATCTGATCTTCCTTCTGATTTTAGCTCCAGTGTCATTACCTCAGGGCAGTCTTCTCTGATTTCTTCTACTACACTATGTCCTTATATCATAGGTCCCCTTATATCATAGGTACCCACAATATCATTTACCCCTCCTCTGTAACACTTGTTACCATTGCATTTTTAGTTTTGTGTATTTCTTTGATAAATGTTCTTGTCCCCTGCTTAACTGTATGATCCATGAGAGTGAGGATTACAATCTGCAACAGCTCATGTTACAGCTGCCCACAGTGTGGATTTAGTAAATTCAGGCTGAAAGATAATGAAAGGTTTCCTGAAAACTGAAAGTTATTAGTTTAAATATTATAATTATTAGAACTTATTTTTGTCTTGAAATCTTTAAAAATGTACTCTACATCTCCCTGTCTCTATAAGCAGAACAAAAAAATCATAATTTGATTCTTTTTACTGAGTCGTCTGAGTTACTAAACTCGAATTCAAAAATGGTCTCAGAAATATTGAGATAGAACCACTTGTCTCAATAGTAAAATCCCCTGATTACTTGATTGTTTTCCTCCATTTTCCTTCTGGACCTCCTTTTAATATGAGGTATATATTTGCATGCAAATGGAAAATCAGACACTTATATTGTTAGAAGTATGTACAAAAAATACATTGGCCCTCAATAATGGTCACAAAGGCCCCCTAAAGAGGAACCATGGACTTTTATGCATGGCCCATGTAACATTCATTTTGCCTGCTTAGAGATATTACTTAATTTCTAGTTTTCAGTTATATTCTGAATAGCTGAGATAAAGCAATAAATTAAGGATGAAAAAGTTATGTGATGTCTCCTTGCTTATGGTTAAGGCCCTACAAAAAAAATTCAGATCAACTTAGTTTGACATCATTCTATTTTAGTTAGAAGAAAAATAGGTGTCTTTTTAAAAATAATAAACTGCATGTATTTATTGATTTGTAATAGTGTATTGGGAATTAAACCTAGTTCTTAGGAAAAAGAAAACTCTCTTTCAAACAAAGACCACCTCCCAAATCTCAAAATATGCAAAAAGAAAAAGAAAAAAATCCTTTCCAAATTAAAGAACCCTGTAATAGTCAAGTTCAAAATGATTTGGCTTATTTTTTTCTTTAGCAATTCACTGAAACTTTACAAAAACATTAGAAATCCTCACTGTTTGTATATCTTTTCCCCCCTAATATATATAAAAGAAAATAACAAGGAGCTTAAAGAAAAAGAATTTTAGAGACAACTAATAAGTTAAATGACATAGGAAAACTGAAAGGGAGAACTGAAAGTGGGAAATTCCTCTCCATCAGAAAGAGTGGAGGGCCATCCTGTATAAGTAGTCCACACTTTGGAGAAAGGACATTCACACTGCAAACTCTTGAAGACTTGGCTTCAGCATCTAGTAGTAGACCAGATAACGCTGTTCCTGTTTTCATCATGACCCACAGGTGCATCCTCCAAATTGCTCTCCTGTTGTGTTTCTCCACAACAGCTCTTTCCACGAGCTACAGATTGCTTCGATTCCAACAAAGGAGCAGCAATTTGGCATGTCAGAAACTCCTGTGGCAGTTACCTGGAATGCCTCAACATTGCCTCGAGGACAGGATGGACTTCGAGGTCCCTGAGGAGATTAAGCAACCACAGCAGTTCCGGAAGGAAGATGCCGTATTGGTCATCTATGAGATGCTCCAGCAGATCTTTGGTATTCTCAGAAGAAATTTCTCTAGCACCGGCTGGACTGAGACCATCACTGAGAAACTCCTTGTGGAAGTCTATGGGCAGATGGATCGTCTGGAGACAGTCCTGGAGGAAATAATGGAGAAGGAAAACTTCACCGGGGTACACATGACCATTCTTCACCTGAAGAAATATTACTTGCAGATTGTGCAGTACCTGAAGTCCAAGGAGTACAGCAACTGTTCCTGGACAGTAGTGCGAGTGGAAATCCTCAGGAACTTTTCCTTCCTTAACCGCCTTACAGATTACCTCCTTAATTGAAGATCTCCCCCCTGTGGCTCTGGGAATGGACAATGCTGCCAATGATGTCAGGCTCTTCAACCAGCGGAGGTTCTTTAAGTAACTGACAGGCAATGCACTGGATTTGAAAGGACAGTTAAAGACTTTCAGCTTTTTTAAAATTAATTTATACATTATTTATTTATTTAAACTTTTACCATGGGAATTAAACGTTTTATGAAACAAAAGTCAACATGGCAGTTTTCATTTCAATTTGATTTATGTAACCATCATATTAAAAATTGCAGAGCACCTAGGAGAGGTTCTTCGTAAAATGAGCCTTTGCAGAATAGTAGAATTTCTGGGCCCTACCTTCAAGGAATCTGAAATACAAGGAAGCCGCGTGGAATATACAAGGTAAAAGATGATAAGGGGATGGGATTTTAGGAGAAGAAATGTGGCCTGAGCCTCTACAGAATTAAAATGGGAGAAGCCAGGTAAGTGACTGTGGAACTAGAAGCAGGGGTGTCTAGTGCTTCTGCACTGTGCCCGAGGCTCTTTGGCCCTAAAGTTAGAATTTGACTGGCTGTCAGGGTAACCAGGGGAATATTTTGGCTCTTGTGTTTGTCCTAAACTCATCCCTATTATCTGTTGGCTGCTCTGCTTCCCTCCCCATGCCCCACAGGATTTTAAAATATTTACGTACCCATCCCCCTCCTCTGGCCAAGCCTAAGAGTGAGAAGTCCCAGGCACTTCTGTGACACTGTTAAGTAGCAGTCCCTTTATTTTACTCTTCATGGTACAGCCAAGATGTATGGGTGTCTTAGGAGAGCTGGGGTCTCTGTCGACTCCCAGGGTACAGACACCAGAGGGAGAAAGAACTCTGCCTGATACCCCTGCTGTCTGGCTAGGTTTTCTCCCCATTTTTCTTTTCAGAAAAGCGAGTCTGCTCCTGGTTCCCCCTTCCCTGTTCATACAGAATTTCAGGACTATCTTATCTGTTTTTTCTGCTGCTCTGCATCTCTGAAGGTACATACTCTCTAAAGTCAAATCCAAGACAGGTGCAGCAGATTAGGTTGTTTTAGGCCAAGTGAAGAACCAGGGAGCATGGGAGAAAGGGAAATTCGGGTGGGAGACAGGGGCCACTCACTTATTCCAGGGCTTACCCTGAGGAAATAAAGTTTCCCTAGGAGCTTTTGGAACCTGGCCAGCATGGCTGGGTTTCTGTCTTTGTAGTGAACCCTTTGGGAATCTGAATTTTTGATTGTTCCTGTCATTAGCAGCTACCATCCAGGCACTGAGCTGAGCTCCTACCTATGTAACTGGATTTAGTCCTCTTCAAAAGCACCCCTCAGGGGCCTTCCCCAGTGGTGCAGTGGTTGGGAGTTCGCCTGCCAACGCAGGGGACATGGGCTCGTGCCCCGGAGCAGCTGGGCCTGTGAGCGTCCGGAACCTGTACTCTGCTGCGGGAGAGGCCTCAACGGTTAAAGGCCCGTGAACCGCAAAAAAAAAAAAAAAAAAGCACCCCTCAGGTAGGCATAATTCCATTATTGATTTTTACAGAAAACTAAGTTTCCAAGGGGTTTAGTAACTGTCCCCGCTCATATAGCTAGTGAGTGGAGGTTAAAAAAGAATTACAAAGGTAAGAATCATATACATTATTTGTATCTACGAGCTTTCTGCTAGAGCAGCACAGAAGTCTGTGTTCCCTTTAAGGGATTCAGCTTTGAGAAAAAGTGTTCGTCAAAAGTTTCAGAGCAGACACTATCGTGCAGACAATGAACTCGGGGCTCCCCCTTGTGACTCAAGTTGGGTAAAACACCAGCTGTGGGACAGAGAAGTGCCATCCTGGTGGGTCTGCTGCTGTTGCTGTCCTCCCAAGCCAGGCAAGGTCCTGTAAAATAACTTTCCCTCTCCCCCCAAGTCCCCACAGTCTGAGACTCCACACCCCAGTTCTGCCAAAAGCCCTTCCACAGCCGTGCTTCCTTTTGCCTAGGAGTCAAAAACAAGATCCGTACATCAAAATGCAGAGTGAAAGGCATGCCTAGAGCAGCCAAGATGATGCTAAAGAAGTTTGTCTGGTCTCCATTGTGAAAATGACTATACTACTCAAAGCAATTTACAGATTCAGTGCAATCCCTATCAAACTACTAATGGCGTTTTTCACAGAACTAGAACAAAAAATTTCACGATTTGTATGGAAACACAAAAGACCCCAGATACCCAAAGCAATCTTGAGAAAGAAAAATGGAGCTGGAGGAATCAGGCTCCCTGACTTCAGACTCTACTACAAAGTTACAGTAATCAAGACAATATGGTACTGGCACAAAAACAGAAATATAGATCAATGGAACAGGATATAAAGCCCAGATATCAAACCACGCACCTGTGGTCACCTTATTTTTGATAAAGGAGGCAAGAATATATAATGGAGAAAAGACAGCCTCTTCAATAAGTGGTGCTGGGAAAACTGGACAACTACATGTAAAAGAATGAAATTAGAACACTCCCTAACATCATACACAAAAGTAAACTCAAAGTGAAGTAAAGACCTAAATGTGAGGCCAGACACTATAAAACTCTTAGAGGAAAAAACATAGGCAGAACACTCTATGACATAAATCACAGCAAAATCCTTTTGACCCACCTCCCAGAGAAAGGGAAATAAAAACAAAAATAAACAAATGGGACCTAATGAAACTTAAAAGCTTTTGCATAGCAAAGGAAACCATAAACAAGACCAAAAGACAACCCTCAGAATGGGAGAAAATATTTGCAAATGAAGCAATTGACAAAGGATTAACCTCCAAAATATACAAGCAGCTCATGCAGCTTAATAACAAAAAAAACAAACAACCCAATCCAAAAATGGGAGAAGACCTAAATAGACATTTCTCCAAAGATATACAGATTGCTAACAAACACATGAAAGGATGCTCAACATCACTAATCATTAGAGAAATGCAAATCAAAACCACAATGAGGTATCACCTCTCACCAGTCAGAATAGCCATCATCAAAAAATCTACAAACAATAAATGCTGGAGCGGGTGTGGAGAAAAGGGAACCCTCTTGCACTGTTGGTGGGAATGTAAATTGATACACCCACTATGGAGAACAGTATGGAGGTTCCTTAAAACACTAAAAATAGAACTATCATACCACCCAGCAATCCCACTACTGGGCATATACCCTGAGAACACCATAATTCAAAGAGTCATGTACCACAATGTTCATGGCAGCTCTATTTACAATAGCCAGGACATGGAAGCAACCTAAGTGTCCATCGACAGATGAATGGATAAAGAAGATGTGGCACATATATACAATGGAATATTACTCAGCCATAAAAAGAAATGAAATTGAGTTATTTGTAGTGAGGTGAATGGACCTAGAGTCTGTCATACAGAGTGAAGTAAGTCAGAAGGAGACAAACAAATACCATAAGCTAACACTTATAAATGGAATCTAAAAAAAAAAAAAAAATTCTAATGAAACTAGGGGCAGGACAGGAATAAAGACACAGACATAGAGAATGGACTTGAGGACACTGGGAAGGGGAAGGGTAAGCTGGGACGAAGTGAGAGAGTAGCATTGACATATATACACTACCAAATGTAAAATAGCTAGTGGGAAGCAGCTGCATTGCACAGGAAGATCAGCTCAGTGCTTTGTGACCACGTAGAGGGGTGGGATAGGGAGGGTGGGAGGGAGACGCAAGAGGGAAGGGATATGGGGATATATGTATATGTATAGCTGATTCACTTTGTTATAAAGCAGAAACTAACACAACATTGTAAAGCAATTATACTCCAATAAAGATGTTAAAAAAATAAAAAGTAAAAAAATTAAAAAATTAAAAAAGAAGTTCACCCAGGCTGAACAGCTAAACTGGCCGAGAAAGTGAGAGGCTGGGGCAGCCCTGGAAAGGCCTTCTCTGTGTGTGTCCAGGGGACTAGAGGACAGAGGAGAGGCTTCTTCTGCAGAATTGTGAATAACTGTGCCACTGCTGAGCATTCTGGTCCATCCAGAATATCAAAAGTATGTTCATCATAGTAGAGGATAAATGACAATTAATATTAATTCTAATAAGAATGATGGAGGTTAACCTAAAACCACATGTTTGAGTATTTGCACATGTTAAACAACTATGCCACATATAAGGCAGCATATCTTCATAGACAGCTACATATGAGGAGTGAAGTGATTATCTTAGCTGGCACCAGAATACCTCCCTAGGAAAGCACTTGTTTAGGAAAATACCGAATGGGCCCCTTGAGATACAAGGTGAGATCTTGAGGTTGTGGGCATGGCAACACAAAAGACAGTACAACATCAATAGCATGTTTTTGTGTGTCTATTTTTAAGGAGGAAAGAGAGAGAGACACAGCCGATGGTCTTGGAGCTCTGATGCTCCCTGGAATAAGGCAGCAGTGAAAAATTTCTGATGAGGGCAAACAAAGGACTTTTAAGAACAAGGGTGTCTCACAGGCAACTTGAAATTATGTGCACTGATGTGATGAAATCCTGTCCTCCGTCTTCTTCAAACCTTCAGTAGAGGTGGCGACCCACACAAAGTCCCTGTGTTTGTAGAAATCATAGAGTGTCCAGGGTTGAAATGGTATATGGGGAAACAAGCAGATGGTGGCTAGATGTCCATATGTGAACCAAATCCGTGGGGACAGAAGGCAGAGTCATGACAACAGAGCCACTTCCCACCTCCACCCATCTACCTTCCAAGGAAATCGTGGAGAGGACATGAATTAGGGGGTCGAGTACTTTTATCTACTCTTAAGCAGTTCGAAGGGCCTGGTGAACATCTTGGTTAACATAAATATTACGTAAATATTGCCTAATATGGACATGTAGATACAGGGTAATATCAGTGTACGTTTGTATGGTATTTTTCACACTTAACAAAGCTGGTATTTAGGAATTTTGGGTGTCATTAGGCACTTTTAGGCCCTGAGATATATCTGATGCAGGAACTCGTTTATAAAATGCTCTGAAGAAAATGAAAAGAACATGCCACAGTCTGGGAG